TCAATAATGGGATCGCCTGTGTTTGCTTACTGGCGATCTATGTTCAAACTCAAGTGTCGGCAGTGACACTTTATTCCTATATAACAAGCTTGGATGTGCAGATGGTGTATTGGATAACAGCTCGGAATTGGAAATAGGTTAAAATACTGATATAATGGAATATGCATACACCTGTGTTCCCCACTCACTGGAATATGATTGGCTGGTGTCCGTCATAAATACCGACGGACGTGTAGGAGAGTAAAGAGCCTTAGTCTGAGAGCCAAGTCTATAACGACGCCCATTGGACTACGCCATTGATCTACACTTCTTACCTGTGACCACGACGCGTACCAGTCGATTACTGCTACCGTATTCTACTTGGTTATATTAGCCAAAACCACTTAGCTACTTCGTCCAAATATATCCCTTTCCGGGACATATCAATTACTAAGAGTTGTATCAGTAAACTATTATTATTATTATCTAGAATATATTCTCTGGCTTTAAATAACCTGCAAAGGATTGATAAGCCTTAAAAACATTAATTAGCCTCAAAATCAATCAATAACATTTTAAATCAATTCTAGAAGTGAAGGGTCATTGCTTAAATTTAAAAAAAAAATTACCCCGTGACCATAGGATCGCAGGATCCCCGTGTGTACTGCAGTTACAGTAGAAGTGGTGTTTCTAGGGCAAGATAGACTGACGGAGCCCAACCCTCTCCAGGCCGGTTTTGAATTCAGAGATTTCCTTTCTCCTAGACCGGCTGCCACCCAAGGTTATAGAACCCAGTATGCCCTACTATTTATCCATAGCTGGGGGGAGAAGAAGAGGATTCATACATTTCCCAAGTGTATTAACCCGCAAGTGAATGTAATCGATTCTAAGGAATTCCTCAATCCACCGTCCCTCCTAAGTCAGTTAACTACCATGCATGATACACACTTTAGCGATCATGCATTTTTCGATACATGACTGACGAGGCGGATTTTTTTCTTGCAGTAGATTGCCATTTGTTTCTGCAGTAGACCAGTTGCCATCCAAGATTACAGAACCCGGTCTGCCCTGCTATTTACCCATAGCTGGGAGGAAGAAAAGTATTCATAACGTTCCTGAGGGTATTAGGACATAAGTAAATGTAAGGGATCCGACTGGAATTCGAACTAGATGTTTTAAAATGCAAAGTGGATGCTAGCTCGACCATTAGTAGCACACGAAACCTGTGATTATCGAAAGATATCGCATGGAGAACAAAATTATATATATATATATAAATTATTTTCAGATAGAATGTATCCGTAAGTAAGAAAATCAATAAAAGGACAAGAGGAAAAACTATTCTTAGCCGAAGCATTTCGTCCTCCGAGGGACTATCCTCTGAGGGACAATTGAATCACAATTTAAGCAATATATATATATATATATATATATATATATATATATATATATATATATATATATATATAGTTAACTATACTCGTTTCGAAAAACCTTCGAATTTTTGAATTGCCAATAATCAAATCAATCTCGAGGGGAAAAAAAGATTTAAAAAAAAAAAAAAGAGCTACAAACATGAAAGTCTGTCGAAAAAATTCGCACAGATACAGGTTTGAAGCCCAAAGAAAAAACACCGATACGAGTAAACAACTAACTAACAAAAGAGCTCAATACAACCGTAGAGCAGACCTAGATAAACCTAGTGAACTAGACAAACCTGGGTAGGTTTGTCTGGCTCACTAGGTTTATCTATATATATATCTTGATATAATGGAATATGCGTACACCTTTGTTCCCCCTCACTGGAGTGTGATTGGCTGGTATCCGTCATAAATACTGACGGACGTATAGGAGAGTCAAAGAGCCTTAGTCTGAGAGCTAAATCTATAACGACGCCCATTGGACTACGCCATTGATCTACACTTCTTACCCGCGACTACGACGTGTACCAGTCGATTACTGCTACCGTATTCTACTTGGTTATAGTAGCCAAAACCACTTAGCTTATATATATTTTATGAAATGGACAAATCCGACAATTATTTTAAGACATTTTTATGTTTATACATTCTTTTTATAGATACAAATATTTAAGTAAATGCTCTGTTTATAATAAACAGTATTAAACAACATTTACCGGCCTGAATGTCCGAGAAATTTTCACAGAAAATATTCGTCTTCCTGAAGAAGGCCGGAGTATACAACAGTTGAAACGTAGTGTATATGGCAACGAAGATGAGGAAAACAGTCCGAACAATGTAAATAGTGCAAATAATTACAATATCTCTTTTCAAAAATATAGACATATCCTGAAGAAGGCCGCAGCTTACAACAGCCGAAACGTTGTGAATATGGCACCGAATAGGAGGACAATAGTCCGAACAATGTAAATAGTGCAAATAATTACAATACCTCATCTCAGAAATATAAACAGATCCCGAAAAAGGACGGAGCGTACAGCGGTCGAAACGTCGTGAATATGGCAACGAATCTGAGTACGGCAGTCAGAATAATACAAATAACGTAAATAATTACAATACCTCATCTCATATAGACAGATACTGTATATATATATATATATATATATATATATATATATATATATATATATATATACCAAAAGGTAGCGTCTTTTGGTCTCTTTACATGTTATGTAGACTTCGTATTTCATCTCTGACGACAGAGCCAACCCCCAATAGATAGAGAGAAGCAGTCAGATAAAGAAGAAAGGGCGTAAATACCAAAGAGAGAAAGCCGCGCTTTTCATTTAATTTCTAATTTTCTCTGACTGTATTTTATCTCGATTTTCTCTTGAAGTACTCTTGAGGCAGAGACAAATTCAAGAACGGTAAATGATTATTTAAGAAGTTCTTTCAACTTGACGCACAATGATAGAATTCTATATTTTAATTTATGGTTACAAAAGGAAAAAAAAAAACGCCGTAAAAACTGATAAACGAAACCGAATTTCAAGATCTTTCTTGAAAGAGAAATCTTTCTAAATGATCTGTTAGCGTCGACAAAAGCCAAGTGCTGCTATAAAACGTGTCGTAAGGGGAAAATGCTTTTTGGAAATTACAGACTTCGGGTAAAATAATTCTCAGGTTACTTGCAGTGTTTGCTTTTTTTTCTTTTTTTTTTTTTTGCAAGGGAACAACGTTCAAGATTGTTCATTTGATATTAATTACTCAGCCAGCGATTATTTTATTTTGGGCCTATTTCTACCTTTATTCTTTTTTCGTTATTAATTGGCCGGACTATGGCTTTTTTTATTGTCCTATTTTATTTCCTATTTAAACATTTTGCTGTATTCTGTCTGGTTTGTTTCTTTCTTCATTTTACTCATTTTGATCAATTTTTCTTTCTGTCTCGGATCTTATTCTTGTGATTGGGAGGAGCTGCGGCGTCGGCAGACGGAATTATCTGTTAGAAATCGGTCGCTGTTCAAACCCAGCTAAAAGGTTTTATCTTTTGAATGCTGATTTTTCGAGACTAGGATCACTTCCTGATGTTGAAGACAAGTTCAGCACAAACTTTCGACACGAATTCCTTAAAGTCTATTTGGAATTGGGTCGTACTAAGTTAACTTTGATATCTATATATTTATCTATCTCCATCAGATCTTCTTTCTTTCTTTCTTTCCTTCTTTCTTTTTTTCTTTCTTTCTTTCTTAGTGTATTCATATCTATCTATCTATCTATCTATCTATCTATCTATCTATCTATCTATCTATTTCAGACTGTTCATATCTCTCTCTCTCTCTCTCTCTATCTATCTATCTATCTATCTATCTATCTATCTATCTATCTATCTATTTCAGTCTGTTCATATCTCTCTCTCTCTATCTATTTCAGTCTGTTCATACCTCTCTATCTATCTATCTATTTCAGTCTGTTCATATCTATCTATCTATCTATCTATCTATCTATCTATCTATCTATCTATTTCAGTCTGTTCATATCTCTCTATCTCTCTCTCTATCTATTTCAGTCTGTTCATATCTCTCTCACTTTCTCTCTATTTATCTATCTATTTCAGTCTGTTCATATCTATCTATCTATCTATCTATCTATCTATCTATCTATCTATCTATCTATCTATCTAAGTCTGTTCCTATCTATCTATCTATCTATCTATCTATCTATCTATCTATCTATCTATCTATCTATCTATTTCAGTCTGTTCATATCTCTCTCACTCTCTCTCTATTTATCTATCTATCTTCTATCTATCTATTTCAATCTGTTCATATCTCTCTCACTCTCTCTCTATTTATCTATCTATCTATTTCATTCAGTCTGTTCATATCTATCTATCTATCTATCTATCTATCTATCTATCTATCTATCTATCTATCTATCTCAGAAAATATGGAAAAGAATAAATTTAAAATATCCTCACAAAGAACTTTCGTTGTTTTTTATAAATGAAAATCTGCTGCTTCTATGCACGTAATATACATATATACATACATGCATATATATATATATATATATATATATATATATAAATATATATATTAGAGGCCTCTACGTAAACGAGATGTCTTATTCAAATGAATTTGTAAAAAGAAAAAATATTTGTCGAATCTTCTATTTCAGCCTTAATTTGAAGCTAATAGATTAAATTTAATATTTGCAATAAGCAAATTATTTTGTTCTATTTCAAAACTAATTTAAAGTGATTGGAAGAAGTTTTTTTCTAAAATTGCTAAAAAATTGGCCACGTTGACAAACAGAATAGTGTTGTCAGATTTAATAATAGCTTAATATTTGAAAAATCATTTTTGATGCTTTTATTTTAGTTTTAATTTCCAAGCTAATAGATCAAATTTAATATTTTCAATAAGCAAAATATTTCGCTGTATTTCAAACGATTTTATGCTGAACAGAATGTTTTTTTATTTGCTAGAAATGGCTGTTTTTGGCCATATTTACAATTCTCGCAGTAATTCCCTTTATTTAAAAAATCTTCCAAAAATAAAATATACTTTGCTGAAATTTGAATTGAAGAAAATTAGCTGATTTCAAGTTTAATTAATGTGATTTGAAACAAATATTACTTTTAGCTTAAAATATCGCAGAAAAATACTTTTTAAATATGGATGTGAATGATTTTATGAGGAGTTGACAGGTTTATTGCTAGTTTGATGTTTGGAAAATTTAACTAATTTTTTTCTAGGAGAGACATTTCTGTAAAAATTAACGAATATAACGTGAATGCCTTTTTATATATTTTTTTAACTACTAAGCAATCTTAAAAATTCAGAAAAATATTCTAATGTTTTTTTTTTTAAATTTAGGTATTCTCGCTTTAAATTTACTAGATTTATCGCTCTTCGTTTCGGGTAAATACGTGTGTGGACTACCATAATTACAAATATCGGCACGTTTATATACACACAAAAAATAATAATTCTTTTTAAATTTGCTGAATTGTAGTAAGCTTTTCCTTTTATGATTAGTAAATATAGTTTCTATTTACTAAACATAACATTTAACCTATACCAATTAATACAGAATTTTAAAAGATTTAAAACTTTATTAATTATTCTAATTAAATTAAAAGAAAATGAAAACAATTATTATAAAAATTAATTATTTATGGAAAAAATTTTCTGAAGACAATAGTTTCTATAATATATATCATATTTATTATAAAACCCAGGTTGTGTGTGTGTGTGTGTGTGTGTGTGTGTGTGTGTATGTGTGTTCGTTTATATATTGGATCGGATTTCCTACATTTTTCAACAGGACTACGTAAAATTACCTTACGGTGGTTCTGACAGCGCCTAAAATTGGAAAAACACAATTGTTTTTGCACGAAGTCAATTTGAAAACACGATTATCGCTATCGCGAGAATGAAAGGGGAACAATTCCTATCGAGTTATACTTATTATAAAACCCAGGTTGTTTGTGTGTGTGTGTGTTCGTTTATATATGGGATCGGATTTCCTACATTTTTCAACCGATTTAAACAAAACTTCACTTTTCTTTGGTAGGTAGTGTTTCCTATTGTCTTGCACACTTTTTCTTTATTTTTACATTCAGAATGCTTTAAAAATTCAATTTACAAGACAATTGTTTATAATAAGATTCTATTCAATCGGTAGACTTATAACGATTGAAAACAATGTTTTGTTTTGGTTTGACCAATTCGTAAAAAAAAAAAAAAAACTAATTAATACATGCGTGTCCGTCAACCTTAAACAATAATCTTTGTCAATTTTATTTTTCAGTCTTTATGATGGTCGATACTTGATCTATCTCTTACTGTTACATCCCCGGGCAACACCGGGCTCTACTGCTAGTTATTTATAAAAGCAATTTAAATTCTTTCTAATTAAGTAATGATTTAGTTTTATTGTATTTTTATCTTACGATTTAAATCAGATTTTTTGTAACTGTGCATCCAGTTTTCAAAAAAAAAAAAACAACAAAAAACAATTCATAATTTTAATTCTTCAAGGTGTTCTGCGTATAACGAATATAAACATTACGCCATACAAAAATTAATTCATCGAAATTTTATAAAATTAAATAAGTAGGGTTGGAGGTAATAGATGTAAAATAATTTGATCAAAATTCTCTAAAAAAAAAAGAAACATTTCTAAAATAACATTATTTAATTGTAAATAAGACCTGAAAGTTTCATTAAAATCCGACAATTATTTCATTTTGGCAAGAATTTCAAAATCAATGTGTTTTTCACCTCAAAAAGGCGCTAAAATTTCCTAGACTAAATTATGGTCACCGGCGAAAGCAAAAAAAAAAAAAAAAAAAAAAAATAATCAATATTTTGAAGGTTCTACAAAGGATAAAAAATATAATTTAATAATAATATAAATCCTTTGCTCTTAATAACAACGTAAAGATTTTGACGATAACACTTTGTTTTTATTAAGTTAGGGGCAATTTTTCACCATGGTATTCTCATTTATTTTAGCGAATATTTGGAGGTACCTCGTTTATAGTAATAAAAATTAATTCCGGATAAGCAAATCCATTCAAAACGAACTAACTCAGACTGATACATCTCTTCTACTCTTTGCCATTCTGTATTTATCATGATGTTTATGACTAAGAATAAACATTACGTGTGGACATAGGTCAGTATATAGTATATGTAAGAAATGTAGATGTTTTTCGGACACACACACACACACACACACACACACACACACACACACACACACACATATATATATATATATATATATATATACAGTAACGACCATAAAGATCAGAAGGATGTTAAGAAAAAGTCTAAATGTGAAATAACATTTTATTTTAAAGCTTCATAGAACATTTTATCAAAGAAAAATAAGGATATAAAACTAAATTATATAATTCCAAAATATAAAACTCAATAAACCTATTTTGATAAAGTTATAAGAATAATTATATAACATTTGAAAAAATAGATGATTATATATATAAAGAGTGTTTTATTAAGACGGATTATATATAAGTGTGTTTCATTAAGAGGGATCAAAGTCAGCCGTAAATAAATCAGTGTTATTTGTGAAAATTTATTTATTTCTCTATTAGATCATGTTATTTAAGTCATGGCAATTATGTGTGGAAAATAATATCGCCCAAATGTCCGCAAAGGCTTCGGCGGCGGCTTCGTTGGTCAAAATCTTTGATGACGTCTCTGCATAGTTGCTCCTCGATCTCACCAATATGCCTTATTATCTCATCCTTCAGCTGTTGAATTGTTGATGGCTTGTTGGAATAGACCTTACTTTTGAGACGAGCCCAAGGGAAGAAATCTAAAGGCGATTGTGGTGGCCAATTGACTTCACTGTTTCGAGAGATGATGCGACCTGGGAACTTCTCATTCAATAAAGCAATTTCGCAATTGGCTTTGATAACTTTAACACGTTGTTTTATTGTTAGTCTTTCCATGGTTAGAAATTGTCAATGACTTAAGTTGTTAAATCAGAAAGAAAAAGAAAAAAATATCATTAGACGCTTAAAGTTAATTCATATTTAAAATCAGCCCAAGTTATTGGAACACCCTTTATTTCTTTAGCTTGCAAAGAAGTGTACTGACTTGTCTTAACCCTTAAGGTTACAATAAACTGTCGGAGTTGTACAGATAACACAAGTTTACAAAGAAATATAGGCAAACATGAAAACAGATATTTTAAACGAAGTGTTGTGTGCCATAAACCCAGTTTGTTTGAATTTACGATTTTTTTTTCCAATTTCACTCTTGAAACTTTAAAACATTGACTGTTAATCTTACCATGGTTGAAATTGCCAAATACTTAAGTTGTTAAATCAGAGAGAAAAATAAAAAAAAATCATTAGACGCTTAAACATAATTCACATTTAAAATCGGTCCAAATTACTGGAACACCCTTTACTTCTAGAACAGTCAGAGGGAAGCCACATCACGTCGGTGGGAAAGTTAGTGAAGTCGAAATGCTAGGTCGGGATCGATTATACAAGAGATCCTTCTTTTGATTTTGTCAAGAATCTCCAGATGTACAGCAGGATGGCAAAACCAGATATGGCAACAGTATTGAATACAAAGACGAGTGGTAAATTTCTCAATATGCGAGATGGATATTAACGAGAACAATTTTATAACAGGATATAACGACCCAGCATTCCTTGATTTGAATGCAGAGGGAGAGATCTAGAAAGAAATGTAAGTAGTTAGATGTAAAAAGGCATCGAAAAAGAAATTAGTCGAGACTATCAGCTATCTAGCTGGATATAAATATATCCAAAGGATTTTCCTTTTTCTTTGCAGACCTTTACTCAATATTAATTTTAGCATACATTTAAGAAATGGACAATTATTTTTAATACATTTTATTGTTATACGTTACTTATATAGGCATAAATATTTAAGAAAATGCTCTGTTTATAATAAACAGTATTAACTACATTTACCGGTTTGAATGTCCGAGAAATTTTCCACGAGAATACGTGTCCTCCTACAGGAATCGAACCTGTATTATAAACAGAGTATTTGCTTCAATATCTTATATACTTTTATATAAATAACGTATAAACAATAAATATATTTAAATAATTGTCGCAAATATTCCATTTCATAATATATATATATATATATATATATATATATATATGAATATAGACTATGAAATGGAATATTTGCGACAATTATTTTAATATATTTATTGTTTATACGTTATATTCCATTTCAATATATATATATATATATATATATATATATATATATATATATATATATATATATATATTGCCACAATTATTTTAATATATTTATTGTTTATACGTTATTTATTATTTAGTGGTTCATTTACACTTGCACAGAACTGTATATATATATATATATATATATATATATATATATATATATATATATATATATATATACAGTTCTGTGCAAAAGTAAGAACCACTAAGATAATATTTCTAAACAATTATCTCTATTTTTCAGATGATCAACAAATCTTAATTAAGCTATATTTTCATTAAGGAAATGTACAATTGTACAAGAGAATCCAAACTTTTTAGAATAAGATTTTTTTTTTATGATGGCATTGCTACATTTCGTTCAGCGCAGAAAACTAATGAAGGCAGACGTACACCCATATTTAAAGAGGAATCCAAATCTTTTCAGAATAAGCTTTTTTTTTTTTTTTTTATTAATGGCATTGTTTCATTTCATTTTCACAGAAAAATAACGAGTATCTAAACAAAAGACGTTTTAAAGAAATATGTTTGAAGAAGTGGGCGGCTTGTTAGCCGGACTTTAACCCGATTGAAAACTTCTGGTACATTACATTAGAAAGAGTATGGCTTAGATTGACGAAGATGGTTTTTGCTGGGGTGTCTGTCTATATACAACTATTTACATTATTCGGACTATTGTCCTCATCTTTGTCGCCATATTTATTACAACGTTTCGGCCGTTGTACACTCCGGCCTTCTTCAGGTTGGAATGTCGAACTGAACCCTTTATTTCACTCATTGGGGGTAGACTGTTCTAGTTCCACGTGCCATGTTTATTTATCAGTTATCTCCTGTTAATTCCCCTCTCCAAGTTCTCCGCTGCCTTAACCGGGTATTGTCACTGGATCTAACCAACGCTTTTATCCACTGTGTCATGTGTCCTTGAGAACATCTGTGTATGAATTTCTATGTATTATAAACCTAATGTCTTCAGCAACCGTTTTTATCAGTGCTCATATTGCAATTTTTGCTGTTATCATTTCATGTTTTTACCAGAGCTCATATTGCAATTTTTGTTATTATTATCGCTTTTTCTCTGGCTCTCCTTACTACTGGTTCCCATATTGTATTCATTTTTATGCTTGGTCGGCTCAGGAGATTATTGTGGCCTAGCATATGTGCTTATACCTTAAGCTTACGAATTTTCCAGTAGTGTTCTTTGTCTATGATCTCAACCTGATCCCACAGAGGGCGGTGATCTCCCTTTTCTCTCCATTTTTTCTGTGTGTCTGGAAATGTTATTATAGCTAATTTCTCTTAAACTTTTAAATCAGAGATCGGAAATTATATCCCGTTGTATTAATACTAAAATGTTCCTTTTGAGTTCATTTGAAGTGAGATGAAAAAAAATATGTATATTTCATTTAATCCCCACCAATGCATTTCCAACGAACTTGATTTCCTCGAAGTTCTCCTCCTCATCATCATCTTCTACCACACACTACGTAAAGCATTAAGAAATCAATTGACCAAAATTGCCTGAAGATACCGAAAGGTTGAAACCAATGTAGCGGAATCGACTGATTTCCTAAATACTTAAAAGCTCTATATGTTAAAATTCTTATCTTTTTATATGCGTATTGAATATTTATTTTAATACTACTGTTTCCTGGTTTAATTCAACGCTGATCATTAACTTTTATTATATATATATATATATATATATATATATATATATATATATATATATATATATATATATGTGTGTGTGTGTATAAAAAGAAAGAGGTTGTAGTGGTTCCAACGAGAGAAAAGTCATTTTTTTAAAAAGTTTTCTCTTTGTTGAAAAGGAGATCCGTGAGATTTGCTATTATTTTTTATTTTTAATAATATGTGGAAATTCCACTTTTACCTGAAGACAGTCACGAGACCAGAAACCTGTGTAGTACAATTATGTAAAAGAAAGCATAATATTTTTCTAAATAAATCCACATTACAACCAAAAAACGTTTGCGGCACCTCTCTTCTTTCTTTAATATATATATATATATATATATATATATATATATATATATATATATATATATATATTGTGGACTCTCCTGTCGTCCACCAGCACATATGATTTGATTATAGTGGTGAAGGGTTTGTGCAGAACCAACCACACTTATTGAAGGTGCACTAAATGCCACATGGTCCCCAAACGACCCACCGCAGCTTTTGAATTCAGAGTTGTCCTTCTCCTAGACCAGTTGCCATCCAAGGCTATAGAACCCAGTCTGTCCTGCTTATTTGCCCATAGCTGGAGGAAGAAGAAGAAGAGTATTAATACCTTTCGCAAGGGTATTAGCATGTAAGCGAATGTAATGGATTCGACTGGAATTCGAATTCGGCTTCCTCAAATCGGAGCCCCTATCCACTATTCTGCCATGCCTCCCATATATATATATATATATATATATATATATATATGTCTGTGTGTGTGTGTGTGTGTGTGTGTGCAAATATATAGAAAATAGGAAAGAACTCCTTAGGTAAATAATTCGAAGTTCTTTAGTATTTTCGTTTTTATTTTAAAAAAACAGTGCTCGATACAAAATTAGAAATTTCGCTTGAGGATGAAACAGAACTTGATACTTTAAATTCAATTTAATTCTAATAATCATACTGAAGTTTTCAGGTCTTGTTTTTGAAACATGAGAACTCTTATGAAGCGAAGTAATTTATTAAAAATAATTATAATATATATATATATATATATATATATATGCTAAACGCAATCATCAGGCCGTATTTTTTCATATATATATATATATATATTATGAAAAAATTATTATTATATATATATATAAAATAATTTTTCATCTAGACAAAAACAATCAATTTACTCACTACAAAGATGCAACCTTGTTTCGATTCATTTAGTTGCACCTCGACTGGTGGAATCAAAAATGGTTATGAATTATATGCTCTCGGTGTTGATCCCTCTTTTGAATTAATGCTGTGAACGTTAGCATTTATATAGTATTTTCGTTCTCATTACATATATATATATATATATATATATATATATATATATATATATATATATATATATATATATATTTTCATTCCGAATAAACCATTATGTCTTAGTGGCATTATCACCCTGCTTGGAGCGAATTGATTATAAGAAAATATGAAATACACTGTCCTTTAATAGCTCGAATCCCTTAAATAATTTTGTAAAAATTCGGAATAAAGCAGTTTTAATAGCTAATAGCGTTCCAAACTCTTATGTCAACCATTGTACAGTGCCTGTGTTTCCTTTGTGGAAATAGAGTCGTTGTTTCCACCAGACG